TATGGAAAAATGGATCAAATCTCCTATTTTATAATGCTAAACTCAAGTTGGGCCGGTTTGGCCCGTCTAAGAACCCATTTGGATCTACAAACTCCCACTAAATTATAAACCCACTATAACCCAATAAATAATCAATTATTCTAAACAAATAATTGGATATTTTGGAACTTGGATGTTACATACAACAAGAGACAAAGATCTTACTGAAGAGTTTAGTATCTCATATACAGAGCCCGTGTTGTATTTCAAGAAAGATCAAGGCTTAAGTGCAGTAAAGGTTAAATGCTTGTTGTAGAACATCACTCCAGACACAGAGCGTCTGCATAGACATTTAGAGCCTCTATGTCTCCTACTTTCGTGGATTGCGCACATGTATTCCTAACTTTCCCGCAAGACCTCTAATTAGTCTGGGAAATGAATTTCTTAGTCCTCTTCATCTAAGCCTGGAGGCGAAATTTGAAATACATCAAGAGACAGAGCTTTTACTGAAGAGTTAAGTCTCACACATACAGAGCCTGTGTTGTATTCCGAGGAAGATCAAGGCTTAAGCGCAAAAAAGTTTAAGTGCTTGATGTAGAACATCACTCCAGACACAGAGCGTCCACATAGTACATGTAGAGCCTCTTAGTCTCCTACTTCCACGGTATGTGCACATGTATTCCAGACTTTCCTGCAAGACCTCTAATTAGTCTGGGAAACTAATATCTTAGTCCTCTTCATCTAAGTCTGGAGGAGAAATTTGGAATACATCAAGAGGCAGAGCTCTTACTGAGGAGTTAAGTGTCTCATATACAGTGCTCGTTTGTATTTCGAGGAATATCAAGGCTTAAGCGTAGAAATGTTTAAGTGCTTGATGCCGAACATCACTCCAGACACAGAGCGTCTACATAGTACATGTAGAGCCTCTTAGTCTCCTACTTCCACGGAATGCACACATGTATTCCAGACTTTCCCGCAAGACCACTAATTAGTGTGGGAAACTAATATCTTAGTCCTCTTTATCTAAGTATGGAAGCGAAATTTGGAATACATCAAGAGATAGAGCTTTTACGGAGGAGTTAAGTGTCTCATATACAGTGCTCGTGTTGTATTCTGAGGAAGATCAAGGTTTAAGCGTAGAAAAGGTTAAGCGTTTGATGCAGAACATCACTCCAGACACAAAGCGTCTGCATAGTACATATAAAACCTCTTAGTCACCTACTTCCACATAATGCGTACATGTATTCCAGACTTTCCCGCAACACCTCTAATTAGTCTAAGAAATGAATATGTTACTCCTCTTCACTTAACTCTGGAGGAGAAATTTGGAATACATCAAGAGACAGAGTTCTAACTAAAGAGTTAAGTGTCTCATATACAAAGCTCGTGCTGTATTTCGAGGAAGATCAAGGTTTAAGCGCAAAAAAGGTTAAGTGCTTGATGCAGAACATCATTTCAGACACAGAGCGTCTTATTCTCCTACTCCCACGGAATACACACATTTATTCCAGACTTTCCCTCAAGACCTCTAATTAGTCTAGGAAATGAATACCTTGGTCCTCTTCATCTAAGTCTGGACGCAAAATTTGAAATACAACAAGAGACAGAGCTCTTACTGAAGAGTTTAGTATCTTATATACAGAGCCCGTGTTGTATTTCAAGAAAGATCAAGGCTTAAGTGCAGTAAAGGTTAAATGTTTGATGTAGAACATCACTCTAGACACAAAGCGTCTGCATAGACATTTAGAGCCTCTAAGTCTCCTACTCCCGTGGAATGTACACATGTATTCCTAACTTTCCTGCAAGACCTCTAATTAGTCTGGGAAATGAATTTCTTTGTCCTCTTCATCTAAGTCTGGAGGCGAAATTTGGAACACATAAAGAAACAGAGCTCTTACTGAAGAGTTAAGTGTCTCATATACAGAGCCCGTTTTGTATTCCGAGGAAGATCAAGGCTTAAGCACATAAAAGGTTAAGTTCTTGACGCAGAACATCATTCCACACATAGAGCTTTTGCATAGTACATGTAGAGCCTCTTAGTCTCCTATTTCAACGGAATGCACACATGTATTCAAGACTTTCCCGCAAGACCTCTAATTAGTCTGGGAAACTAATATCTTAGTCCTCTTTATCTAAGTCTGGAGACGAAATTTATTATACATTAGAAGACAAAGATCTTATTGAGGAGTTAAGTGTCTCATATACAGTGCTCGTGTTGTATTCTGATGAAGATCAAGGCTTAAGCACAGAAAAGGTTAAATGCTTGATGCCGAACATCAATCCAGACATAGAGCGTCTGCATTGTACATGTAGAGCCTCTTAGTCTCCTACTTCAAAGGAATGCGCACATGTATTCCAGACTTTCTCGCAAGACCTCTAATTAGACTGGGAAACTAATATCTTAGTCCTCTTTATCTAAGTCTGGAGGCAAAATTTATTATACATCAAGAGACAGAGCTCTTTCTAAGGAGTTAAGTGTCTCATTTACAGTGCTCGTGTTGTATTGCGAGGAAGATCAAGGCATAAGCA